GTGGGCCAATTGCGGTGCTACGTCCTGAACTGGAATGAGGGACAGAATGGGTAAACATACTAAGTTTGAGATGTTTGTCAGACACACAAACAAAGAATTCAAGAAACCAGTTCGACACCTCCAAATAAAAATGGTATGGCTGCAAATTCTTTTTTTTTTTTTTTTTTTTGAGACGGAGTTTCCCTCTTGTTACCCAGGCTGGAGTGCAATGGCGCGATCTCGGCTCACCGCAACCTCCGCCTCCTGGGTTCAGGCAATTCTCCTGCCTCAGCCTCCTGAGTAGCTGGGATTACAGGCATGCGCCACCATGCCCAGCTAATTTTTTGTATTTTTAGTAGAGACGGGGTTTCACCATGTTGACCAGGATGGTCTCGATCTCTTGACCTCGTGATCCACCGGCCTCGGCCTCCCAAAGTGCTGGGATTACAGGCTTGAGCCACCGCACCCGGCCTTTTTTTTTTTTTGAGATGCAGTTTCGCTCTTGTTGCCCCAACTGGAGTGCAGTGGTGCAATCTCGGCTCACCACAACCTCTTTCTCCTGGGTTTAAGCGATTCTCCTGTCTCAGCCTCCAATGTAGCTGGGAGTACAGGCATGCACCAGCATGCCCGACTAATTTTGTATTTTTAGTAGAGATGGAGTTTCTCCATGTTGTGTTGATCAGGCTGGTCTCAAACTCCCGACCTCAGGTCATCCACCTGCCTTGGCCTCCCAAAGTGCTGGGATTACAGGTGTGAACCACTGCCTCTGGCCTGCAAATTCTTTTATACTCTTCCTTCAATAGGTGAATGAATAAACTGTGGCACATCTATACAATGGGATATTATTCAGCACTAAAAAGAAATGAACTACCATGAAAAGACATAGATGAACCTTAAGTGCACGTTACTAACTGGAGGAAGCCAGTCTGACAAGGCAACACACTGTATGATTCTAAATATATGACACTGTAGAAACGCACAACTATAAAGACAGTAAAAAGATCTGTGGTTGCCAGAAATTAGCAGAGAAGGATGAATAGGTAGCACATAGAGGATTGTTTAGGGCAGTGAAACTACTCTGTATGATATAATGGTGGATACATATTTAAAATTTAAATATGTATCCAAACAAATTTAAAATATATATCCGCCATTGAATGTACACTACAAATGAGGCCCATGGTAATGATACATCCAGGTTGGTTCATCAGATGTAACAAATGTACCACTCCACCAGATGCTGATGGTGGAAGAGGTTGTGCAGGTGGGGCCAGGGGAGAGGAGGGTGGGATATGGGAACTCTGTACTTTCCACTTGATTTTGTTGTAAACCTAAAACAGTTCTTAAAAAAATATAGTCCATGGCCAGATGCGGTGGCTTATGCCTGTAATCCCAACAGTTTGGGAGGCAAAGGCGGGTGGATCACCTGAGGTCAGGAGTTTGAGACCAGACTAGCCAACATGGAGAAACCTCATCTCTACCAACATTACAAAAAATTAGATGGGCGTGGTGGCAGGCACCTATAATCTCAGCTACTTGGAAGGCTGAGATAGGAGAACTGCTTGAACCCAGGAGGTGGAGGTTGCAGTGAGCTGAGATTGTGCTACTGCACTCCAGCCTGGGCAACAGAGCAAGACTCCATCTCAAAAAAAAAGATATACTAATAAGAACTCATACTACACTTGATCTTAGCCAAAAGACTGAGAAGTGGTTAAATAATTTTGTAGGCAAAGATATAACTATGAGAGCCAGTTCTAGCCAATGAGACGTGAAGAGTCTCCTGTGTGGGGCTTTCAAAAAAGTTACTGTTTCCTAATCAGATGGAAAAATACAACTGGGAGTTGCCTTCTGCATTTCACTCTGTGCCTGCCTATTACACAGACATTAGATCTAGATGTACTTCTCTATCTTAAGCATGAAGACAAAAGCTACACACTAAAGATGGGAGAAAGGAAGACAGGAGGAGCCTGTCTACCTAATGGCATTGTGGAAGCACCTTCCTGGCCCCGGTCTTCTACCTCCAGATTTATATCAAAGGAAAAGACCCAGTTACTTGGTCAAGCCACGACAGTTGGGTTTCTATTACATGCAGCAGAATACTGATACCTTAAATGATACAAGTAGTTAACATCACTTTTACCAGTCTCTGTAGAAGTTACATGTCATAGATGGGTATTAAAAACATGAAACACTCTCACAATTTTCCACATAAGGCCAGAGATGTGCATTTAAGATGGTTGATTAGGGCTGGTCGTGGTGGCTCACGTCTGTAATCCCAACACTCTGGAAGGCAGAGGTGGGTGGATCACCTGAGGTCAGGAGTTCGAGATCAGCCTGGCCAACATGTCGAAACCCTGTCTCTATGAAAAACACAAAAAATTAGCTGGGTATGCTATCAGGCACCTGTAATCCTGAGGCAGGAGAATCACTGGAACCTGAGAAGCAGAGTTTGCAGGACGCCGAGATCATACTACTGCACCTCAGCCTAGGCGACAGAGGGAGACTCCGTCTCAAATAATAAGATGGTTGATTAGGGTTCACTGTGTGGCTGTGGGAAGCCAGTTACTTGGGATGATAACTGAAACCAAGAATTTGACTGGATTGCTAGTATTCTCAACCAGATGACCAAATAAGTTAAATTTCATCCCAGTTTCTGAATTTATCAAATTATATGGAATAGCTTGGCTTTGAGAGTCATGATTACTTTATGTGTGACCACTACTTATTCTCATTGAATTCTTTGAGTTTTTTTTTGTTTTTTTTTGAGACGGAGTTTCACTCATGTTACCCAGGCTGGAGTGCAATGGCGCGATCTCGGCTCACCGCAACCTCCGCCTCCTGCCTCAGGCAATTCTCCTGCCTCAGCCTCCCGAGTAGCTGGGATTACAGGCACGCGCCACCATGCCCAGCTAATGTTTTATATTTTTAGTAGAGACGGGGTTTCACCATGTTGACCAGGATGGTCTCGATCTCTTGACCTCGTGATCCACCCGCCTCGGCCTCCCAAAGTGCTGGGATTACAGGCTTGAGCCACCGCGCCCGGCCTTATTCTCATTGAATTCTTATCTAATCAATATGCTAACAGTAACAAGTAATAAAAGCCGTATCATTTCTCATTAACCTTTTATTTTTAACTTAGTTTTACAGTAAACAGAAAAGAAGTTGATCATTAAAAAAATACCATAGCTGTCAAGTTTAAATGAGGTTCTTATTAAACAAAGCAGGAACACTATATCCTATAATTACACCTTTACTTTTATATACAAGAACTGTGTGCAAAGTGCTTTTCAAACTATAAAATAAGACTTTGGAACAGGATACAAATGGTTATCCCTAGGAGTTAGTTATCCCCGACTGCTTGTAATGATTCACAACTGCTTATACTCCTAATTTGCATTTTATTTATTTATATACTAAGAGAAAACCCACTTTTTTTCTGATACCAAATTGATATGTAATTTTTAAAAATAATCTTTGAGGCCGGGTGTGGTGGCTCATGCTTGTAATCCCAGCACTTTGGGAGGCCAAGGCGGGTGGATCACCTGAGGTCAGGGGTTTGAGACCAGCCTGACCAACATGGGGAAACCCCATCTCTACTAAAAATACAACATTAGCCTAGTGTGGTGGTGCATGCCTGTAATCCCAGTTACTCGGGAGACTGAGGCAGGAGAATCACTTGAATCTGGGAGGTGGAGGTTGCGGTAAGCCAAGATTGCACCACTGCCCTCCAGCCTGGGCAACAACAGCAAAACTCCGTCTCAAAAAAAGTAAATAATCTCTGATCCACAGGTCTAAATGTTATTTTTACATATTAATTCAGTTGCTTGCTTCATTTTTTTCACAAATAAGTAGGGAACAATTTTTTAAAAGCAAATAGTAGCAGATCCCTTTAGACAGACATATTTTAATCAGTATAGGATTAAAGAATAAAAACAAAGTTACTTGAAAGAAAAAGAAACAAAGAGTTTGGGAAAAGTAAATTGTATTCTTATACTTTTCAGGCAAACAACCACCCTGTATACTAAAGACAGATTAATTCTTTCTCTCTTATTTAAAACACTCAGAACACATGATGCTAAACCCAACATCATACATCTTGAGAATGCTTAAAAAATATTTGCCACAGGCTGGTCACAGTGGCTCACGCCTATAATCCCAGGACTTTGGGAGGCCGAGGAGGGCGGATCACCTGATGTCAGGAGTCCAAGACCAGCCTGACCAACATGGAGAAACCCCATCTCTAGTAAAAATACAAATTTAGCCAGGCGTGGTGGTGCATGCCTGTAATCCCAGCTACTTGGAAGGCTGAGGCAGGAGAATCGCTTGAATCTGGGAGGCAGAGGTTGCTGTGAGCTGAGATCATGCCACTGCACTCCAGCCTGGGCAACAGGAGCGAAACTCTCAAAAAAAAAAAAAAAATTATTTGCTGCAAAGACTGAATCAAAGAAATCTTTAAAGCACAAGGTACATCTAAGTGAGCAGGAAATTTTGGAAGGCATACAGGAAAAGTCTTCAAGGATCTAAATTACAGTCTTCTTTTTGGTCTAGATGAGAGAGGTGGGGAAGAGGGACTTAAGTTTGTGTTAGCTGGGTGTGCCTTATTCCTATGGAAGCATTTGGCCTGTTAGCTTGCAAATCCCTCCAATACCCCTGTGAAGTAGGTGTATCTAAAATAGTATACCCCGAAGGAAAAACTCAGGCACTAAGAGGTTAAGAGTCCAGTCTGTATAGTTTACCAGTTGCAGAAAAGTGATTTTCGTGTGTTTCCTTTTTGACTGCTGTAAAAACAGTATAAATAAGTTTTCATTTTATATTTCAAAGCACCCTATGAAGCAGACACTAGATATCCTTAAAGAAAAATGATTACAAAGGAATAAGTGTATATGGTTGAATAAAAATCTTACTAATCATCTATAGGCTCAGAATAAACTTTTAAACCTACATGAAGCTCATTCTTCATCATTTCCATCAGCGGGTTATGTCTAGTCTGTAAATCATTTATAAAAACTAAGCCTGGTACATAGGACTCCACTTTTTAATAATGCTGCCTGAACACCAAACTTAAGAGTTGTGAATGCCCGAGAAAGATTATGGGCAGCCCACAAAGCGAATATAACAATTCTTCCTGCGGTTTTCTATTATGTGGCATGGCAACTCAGTGACTAAGATATAAAGTCAATTACATCTCACTTGAAATTCACTCCTGGTTTGCATTCTTTCTTGTATTTAATTTAGAAAATTAAAAATACTCACTTATAAACCTGATCTCATTATCACAATGGTACCTTTGAAAGCAGCTTATATTACTCTATGGAAGATAATCAGGTAAACATGTTACCAAATGATAATTAATAATGTCCTTCAAGTTCAAGGACAGGGTGAATTTATGTATGCTACTTATAACCTAATAGAGATTGATTATTCAAGTATCAGCAATATTAGTCCTTAAAATGTTATCATTTGTGTAGTGCAAAATATGTATGTGTATATATGTACACAAACCAAACTACTAGACAACAAAAAGCAATGTAATCATCACAAACTGAGATTTTCTTGTGAACACCATAATCCAGCTCATTCTGAGGTCATCCAGTTCCAGTAGTCTTCTTGAGGAAAGTACCATTTTCCTCAGTTCAGTTTTCTTTAAAAAGAAAATAAAAACCAGTTTCCTGTGAGTATAAATGCAAATAATTCTCTGGATGGTAATATAATAATAATAACATAATAACATTCAAATTCAAAATAAAACCATAAAATGACCAACAGTCTTTATAAAACTAATTCGTATGATTTACAGTCTGATAGGAAAGATCCAATTACAAGTGCTTAAATTACCAAACAGTTTAAAAACACTTATTTATTTATTTATTGAGGCAAAGTCTTACTCTGTCACCCAGGATGGAGTGTATTGGCGCCATCTCGGCTCACTGCAACCTCAGCCTCCCTGGTTCAAGCGATTCTCCTGCCTCAGCCTCTTGAGTAGCTGGCATTACAGGCACGTGCTACTACACTCGGCTAATTTTTGTATTTTTAGTAGAGACAAGGTTTTGCCATGTTGGCCAGGCTGGTCTTGAACTCCTGACCTCAGATGATCCACCCACCTCAGCCTCCTAAAGTGCCAAGATTACAGGCGCGAGCCACCACGCCCAGCCATCCTGGCCAATTATTTTATTTTATTTTATTTTTATTTTTATTTTTATTTTTATTTTTGAGATGGAGTCTCACTCTGT